CAGCGCGCCCTTGCCGCTGCCCCCCGACTTGGCTGGAAGGCTGGCGGGGGGAGAAGCCTGCTCCTCCCCATCGCCAGCCCTGCAAACTCGGGGGACAGCGGGAGAGGCGCAGCGCGCCATCCCGCTGTCTCCCGACATGGTTTGGAGGCTGGCGGAGGGCTTCCTCCTCCCCCAGCCCCGCAAGCTCCCAGAGCGATGCCAAAGCTGCGCGCAGCTTCGGCATGGCTCTGGGTCCCGTTCTGGGGGAGGGGGAAGCTCGGGCTTCCCCCGCCCCAGCCCCACGCCTGGCGGTGGGGGAATAATTTTTCCCCCTTTATTCCCCCCCCCCCCGCCAATTTTTCCCGCGGCACACCAGGCAACGTCTGGCGGCACACTAGTGTGCCGCGGAACACCGGTTGGGAAACACTGGCTTAAACTTTGTGGGTAAACTCCAGTGAAATGCCAGGCATCCGAGGTGTAGCTGAATAAGGTTATCGGTGAGCAAGAATGTGGATTCACACTTGGGTGCAGGAGTAAAGAGTTAGTAGATTATTATTTTTAAAGCTGACTTTGAGGTTTTTGCTTTAACAATCACATGACATCCAAATCTTGTGGAAAAAAATAATAATTCAAGGAAAGATGGTACATGATGTATTTAAATAAACTGAAAAACCCTCAGCAGAAATATGTAAAGATTTGCTTATCTTACATGTTGCATCAATTGCAGAATCCACATTTTCTTGGCACATGAATTTACTGGACTCTGAACACCTCTTTCCAGGCTTACTTTTCACAGTGTTACTAAATGGTCACAACAATTTGAATAATGTACAGAGAACCATAGATTCACAATAAAGTCGTTCATGGATTCTATCATCTGATCTTCTACTCCTAGCTATTCAAAGACATGATTCAGCTTATTGTTATATTTTTCAGTCTGGAAAATGATCCAGTTGTTTTCTTCTTGCAATTTCCAGTGTAATTTGGGTTCCTGGATGCTTAACATACCCCTTGCAGTCAAAAATTAAAATTAAGAAAGCAAGACATATTAAGGGTGCCAGTTATACAAAAGAAAAAAAGGGGGGGACATAAATTATTTGAGGAAAAGGAAAAGTTTTCATGAAATATTTCCTGCAAAAACCAAAAAACAAATTATACCAAAAGTTGCACTTGCGATGTACATCTGGAGAGGCCAGAATCTTAATGCATGAGCCTTTTGTAAATTCTGAAATTCACAAGAATTTTCTTGGGCTTGACATGGTAAAGTAGTGCCCCATCTGCGGTGCTGGCTAGCAAATTTTCTGTCAACACCAGTGAGCCTGCCAGACCAATACCATGGCATATGGTCTGAATTTCCAGGCACAACATTTCTCACTGCCAATATAAAATAGATGTCTTTGTCCTGAGAAATGTCTTCTACCAAACCTTGGTACGCCCAGCTTCTACACAAAAGGGGGAAGTTGTCTGATGGTACCTCCATTTTTTAGAAACCCTTCACATTGGTATATCTAACTTTATCTGCAAAGCTTAGGGTGGTGTACTTTGTATATCATTCCATCTTACTCTCAGAAAAACAATGGGTTGTAGGCTAGTCTGAGGGGAAAGCGACATGAACATGGCCATCTGCTGAGCTTCAAAGAATCATAGAGTTGAAAAGTATCTCAAAAGTCATCTAGTTCAATCCCCTGCTGGTGCAGACATCCACCGCTATGGCATTCCTAATAGATGGCTAAGCAGCCTCTGCTTTAAAAACCTCTCACAAAGGAAAGTCCGCCATTTTCTGAGGCAGTCTGTTTCTCTGTCAGATAACTCAAACCTTTTTCTTGTAACTAAAACCCACTGGTTTTGTTTTCTGGAGCAACAGAAAACAGACTAGCACCACCATCTAGGTGGTCATTCAAACATTGGAACATTCAAACATTTGAAGATGGCTATCATATCTTCTCTTAATTGTCTCTTCTCCAGGCTAAACATATCTTCAACCTTTCCTCACAGGACTTGGTCTCCAGAGTCCCCACCATCTTTGTCGCCCCTCCTCTGGACACAAGCTAGTTTGCAAGTATCTTTCTTGAACTGGGGTGCTCAGCACTTGACACAGTATTCTAGGCATAGCTGTCAACTTACAGACCAGCAGCCTTGAAAATAAGGGATCAGCAGCCAAAATAAGGGATTTTCCAGGCACAGGTATGTTCAGCTTCTGAGCCCCTCCAAGCCAAAGGCATAAAGCCCAGCCAGGAGCCAAACGAAGCCTCAAGCGGTGGTTCCCACAATGCAGCAACCCGGCAAAGGGGATGCAGCAAGAAAAACCACCGTCACATCTCCGCTGGGAAGCGCTGAGCAGAGGCGAGTCCCCAGGCAACGTGGCCGATTTGATCAGCACAAGGCATGCAAGCTCCACCCCCCGAGTCGTTCTTTGACTCCTTATTGGGTGAGCAATGCAGCCAAGCAACAAAGTTGGAGCCTCCCTCCTCCCTAGCCGGCAGGGAGGGAGGGAGAGGAGCTGCTTCCTTTGAAACCTGGGAAATTTAAGGGACATCATCAATAAGGGACAGCAGCAGGACACAGCGTTGGGATAAGGGACTGTCCCGCCAAATAAGGGACGGTTGACAGCTATGATTCTAGGGAAGATATGATCAAAACAGAATAGTGCTCACCTGACATCTACCTGGTTGTCTGAGGAACCCAACTCCTCTCAGCAGTCCCCATGCCAAGTTCTCCCTTTCTCACTGTACATTTCGTCACATTTACTAGGGTGTTTCTTTGCATTTGCCCACTGTTTTCTGCTGCCAGGGATGCGGTGGGGGAGAGAATGACATGTGTAGAACTCAGAGCCAGCACAGCCATTGGGCAAGGCAAGGCTGCTGCCTCAGGCTGAAGAAACCACCACACTGTGGGCACCCTGCCTCCACCTCCAACTTGGGGTGAGACTGCATCCATTTGGGGCAAGCTCTCACCCCAAACTGGCACGATCTTGCCTGAAACTGGTGCCAATGGTGGCGGCACTTCTCCACCAGCGGCAGATGTGATGGTGGCAGAGCAGGTGGCGGCAGCAGCAGAGACAACGACAGGGCAGGATGGCAGTTTCCGTGTCACCTCAAGTGGTGAAACAGGAGGTGCTGCCCCAGCAGATCTGAGCAAACATTACTTGGAGAGGCAAAGAACTCCAGAAAAGGCTGTCATTTTCGAAAGCAGTTCTGTGTTTAGTGTCACCTGTAGTCCTGTCGTAACACTATCTACTAAAGGTAAAGGTAAAGGGACCCCTGACCATTAGGTCCAGTCGTGACCGACTCTGGGGTTACGGTGCTCATCTCGCTTTATTGGCCGAGGGAGCCGGCGTACAGCTTCCGGGTCATGTGGCCAGCATGACTAAGTCTATGACTATTTCTGGCTTAGCGGAGTCTTTAACCCGAAACATATGTAACCCGAGGTACCACTGTTCTGTAATGGACATTCATCAGCTATAAACAAGAGAAATCTTACTGACTATATTTATTGCGAAGAATTTGGCAATAATTCTGCACTGAATGAAAAGGATTGTTTGCAAAAACAACAAAATATTATAATTCTTTGTGACAGTTGCAATAGTCCCAGGTATACTGCACTTGATTTTAATATGAAGGGAAATGTTCTAAAGCTACTGTGTGGTTTTATGGACTTAAAAGATAGCTAAATGAGAGTAAGGAGCCAGTAAATTCTTCTCCGACAAGTTTGGGCCATTTGTTCAAAGGCCATACTGAAGTCCAAGTAACCATAACTAAACAACAGATTTTTATGACCTTCAATAAAATATACTGCATTTTACTACCAAACTACAGTTTGGGGCCATGTTGCCCCACTCCACAACATTCTTGTTCTGAAAATTGGTTTGAACAAAACCACACCAGCCCTTAAATATCGAGGCACTCTGATCAGAAATCTGATCTTAGCTATCAAACATAATTTGGATTTCTTTCAACCTACTCCCTTTTATCATCATGTTTTCAATAACGAAATCTGAATGCAGAGATACTCCAGCAGAGCAACTTCTGGCAGCAGTGCTGTCCTGAAAATTGTTGCCGCAGATGTCACACAACATGGACTTAGAGCAAAAAAAGTTGTCTGCTGGGTTTTGGTGTCCTTTCCTTATGCAAGAACCTTTAATTGTAAGGAAAAGTATCTCCACTTGCACAAGAGCACATCTGGATTCAAGCCCTCATTAAAAAAAGTGTGTGGGGGGGGTGACCCATCAATGTAATTTCTGTTGCAATATAGCAAAAAAATGAAAAACCCTAAAGCAGTGGTTCCCTGACTTTTCCCTGCCATGGAGAATTCCTGATGTCCTTGGAGGAGCACTTAGTTATTTTTCAACCTGTTGCAGAACCATAATTCCATATAACTCAAACTGTAATACAATAGAAGGGCAGCATAAGAAATAAAACAAACATTAAAATAACATTAAAAATCAGCATGACTATTCAACATGATGGATGTGTCATCTTCCTTTTTTCAATCACAAATCCACAGACAAGCCAAGGACCACCTGACTGAACCTTTTGGACCACTGATGGTCCACAGACCACACTCTAGAAAACGCTGCCCTCAAGCCATCATGCTTGAGGAGCTTGCAAATGTATTCTTAGTGCCAAATCTACACTTTAGAAAGTCACTATCTTTCAAACAATCTTTTAAAAGTGCAAACTACTGCTTTAAAGGCTGTTGAAAAGTATCTTAGCTACATCTAGATTTTAACCGACAAGGGAAAATGGCTGCATTTATGACTGATTTGACAGTGAATGAGAAATACTCTGCACAAGTAACTCCATGGTCTATTAAACGGGCCCCTGAGAGGAAACATTTCTTATATTGTGTGGCTTAGTAATTTATGTGATGTAACCAGAGAAAAACAAAAAAGGGAAGCAAACGCAAGTTCATTATCAAAAGCCAAGCTCGGCGATTTCAAGCTGTGCTCAACCCGGCCTGTTCCACGCCTGGCAAACCCACCCACAGAAGCTAATTATCCCGTTGCGAAACTTTGCACTTACCTGCCTGGTTTGTGGTTACATTGACTGACACAAATTGCCTCGCAGCCGGACTCTGGTCGGACACACCATTCAGTGCCTCAATTTCAAAGGTATAGTTTGTGTGGGCAAGCAGGTCCACCATCATCACAGAGGTGTTTCTCAGGCCGCTTTGTTGTGGGAGGTACCTGACATGACCACCACACTCCTCACAGAGACCCGAGTGCCAGTTGCACTTCTTGCATGCAATATAATAAGACACATCTTTCCTTCCACCAGTATCAGCAGGAGGAATCCATTCCAGAAAGACACTAGTCTCGTTAACATTTGAGATGGCACTCCGGGGAGCAGAGGGGGGTCCTGGCGTGTAAAGTGAGAAAAACACATGGTAAGAATCAGATTCAAAGTCCCTCCCAACCCATTTGCTTAGATACTGTCTATGGGATTGGAAAAATTCTAACCAACCCAGTTCTTTGGAAGGCATTAAGTGCCGGTGGGTCCCATCCAGGGCCGGCCCACCCATGAGGCAAGGAGAGGTGACTGTCTCGGGCGGCAGGTTCCACAGAATAGCAGAGCCAGCCTCCAAGGATTGCATCTTCCAATGCCAGTGCCATGGTAGCAGCAACAGGTGTGGCATGCTCATTGTGGGCCTGATCTGCTGCCTCTATGGCAGTCCCTCTCATTTCACCTCTAAGGTGACATCTTGGCAAATAGGAGACACTGCTGGTCTCCTCTCCCCCTTGTTTGCAATGTAGACCTTCACTCCCCCTTTGTTCCCAATGCAGATCATCATTCCCTCCTTGTTCCTGATGCAGATCTTCAACCACCATTCTTCCCTGGAAGGGTAGGGAGTGAGGTCACCATTTTGTGGCTTGCCTCAGGTGCCAAAATGTCTTCAACGGGCCCTGGCTCCATCCCACAGAGGCCACCGAATGAAAAACCCACTCAGGGCATAAAGCAGAGCTGAGATGTTGTCTGGTTCAGACTTTTCAGTCGAGAAGCATGAAATCCATGTTATGGATCCATCTAAGTCCATCTAAGACAGGCGTTTTTCAACCTGATGCTCTCCAGTAGTGTGGACTATATCTCCCATCAGTCCCAGCCAGCATGGCCAACTAGCTGGGGCTGATGGGAGTCTTAGTTAAAAACTTCTAGAGGGTACAAAACTGGAGAAGACTTGTCTAAGATTATCTTGGTGGGTGTTCCACTAAGCTGCTTTACATTTTCGAATAAAGAGTGCACAGTCAGATTCTCTCAGCGGTGAAGGCATAACCAAACTGTGTTGGAAGTTATCCTGAGAATGGATTCTTGCTTATCTCAACGAAACAAGTGACATGCCGGAGTCTTTGTAAGAATCCTCACAACCAAAGGCAGCAGAGCTATGTCAGCAGCCTGACACCGGAATGCAGCCCACCCCTGCTTTATATATTTGCAATAAATATATAATTAATTCTCACCACTGTTTGTTAGAAATATCAGAGCAGCATGCAGCAATTATCTATGAAACCATCCGTTTAAACAAAAATTGAAAAGTTAAAATCAGAAATCAGCTAGCAATGATGGAAAGATGTGTTCTTCACTGCCTCAATAACCCTGATGGAATAGAAAAGTTTTCAGGATGTGCATAAATGTTGAAACAGAAGGCGCCTGCAGAATCTCTATCAGCAGAGGATTCCACATGACTGTGCCATTGACAATGTAAGTTTGGTTTCTTGCAATTGTCAAAGGAGCCTTTCCAACTCAAGAAACTGACAACACTACTCCAGCAGATATTCTCAGTGATCAAGCTGGGATATAAGGGTTTAAGCAGTGCCTGAGGTACCCTGGACCTAAGTTGTTCTGGGCTTTGTAAATTAATGCAGGGACCTTGAACCTGGCTCAGTAGTAGACGGGCAGCAAAAGCAGATTTTTTAACAATGGTGTCAGTGATGCCTATTGTTAAGGGGACAACAGGAACAAACGGAGGTCATCCTATGGTTCCATAGCACACAGCTGCAAGCCAAGGTATAGCACTTTCAAATTCTTCATACTTTCACTTTACGCATACGTTGGGAAGGTGGAATCTCCATCAATAGCATGTTTGAGATCTACTGTATGCAGGCCAATCCTGTTTGAAATGTAAAAAGTAAAGGGACCCCAACCATTAGGTCCAGTCGCAGACGACTCTGGGGTTGCGGCGCTCATCTCGCTTTATTGGCTGAGGGAGCCGGCGTACAGCTTCCGGGTCATGTGGCCAGCATGACTAAGCCGCTTCCGGTGAACCAGAGCAGCACATGGAAACGCCATTTACCTTCCCGCCGGAGTGGTACCTATTTATCTACTTGCACTTTGACGTGCTTTCGAACTGCTAGGTGGGCAGGAGCTGGGACCGAACAACGGGAGCTCATCCCGTCGCAGGGATTCGAACCGCCGACCTTCTGATCGGCAAGCCCTAGGCTCTGTGGTTTAGACCGCAGCGCCACCTGTGTCCGTATGTAGCATTCATTTAATGCAATGCCATAGCTACTCATTCATGACCTGCAGCCTTTGATGACACCTTGCTAGCCTACCCCTGAATTGCCTGCTGGGTGAGTAGAGTTAAATCTGATCTAACCTTGTTACCTCCTTCCTGTCAAGTTTGTCACCTGATTTGCACAAAAGAGAAAGGGAAAGCTGTCTAATCTTCATTGGGGACCAGCTGACAGCTTCTGCCACTTTGCTGTCCCACAGAAAATGGTCCAAGTGTAGAACAGATGCTCGTAAAAGCTCTTCGTTATAGCAGACCGGGGGTATCCACTAACTGTACGTTCAGATGGGAACCACATGCCAGTTCCCTGAAGGATTTCCCTGTATGATATAAGCAGCCTCAACCAGATGCTCATCACATTCACACTTTCAGTGCATGAAAAGTCCCTGAGAGCCAACTCACACTCACATAGCGTACTAGAGCTTAAATGGCAAAGGCAGAGACAGAGAATCGCCCGCCATTAAGGGATGTTTAAGCAGGCAGGCTTCTCTGCAATTACACTAGTGGCCAAGATTGTGGAAAGCTTTTGGGGAAAGTGTATTTCTGAGGTGTGATGGCTCATAACACCTGATTGACTCTCTAAACACTCATGCTCATTGGCTACATTCAAATGAAGGAAAGCTACTCCATATCAACCTGTTGTGCTGCTTTTTTCTGGTTAAGTAAAGGTAAAGGTACCCCTGCCCGTACGGGCCAGTCTTGCCAGACTCTAGGGTTGTGCGCTCATCTCACTCTAGAGGCCGGGAGCCAGCGCTGTCCGCAGACACTTCCGGGTCACTTGGCCAGTGTGACGAAGCTACTCTGGCGAGCCAGAGCCGCACACGGAAACGCCGTTTACCTTCCCGCTAGTAAGCGGTCCCTATTTATCTACTTGCACCCGGGGGTGCTTTCGAACTGCTAGGTTGGCAGGCGCTGGGACCGAACTACGGGAGTGCACCCCGCCGCGGGGATTCGAACCACCGGCCATGTAATCGGCAAGTCCTAGGCGCTGAGGTTTTACCCACAGCGCCACCCGCATTATTTGGCTATAACTTTTGATAGAATACAGCTAATTGAACATACCTTGAGGCATTACATTCTTCATTAAATTATCTTTCCACTGATAT